ATGCCAACTAAGAAATACCTTCCTTCAAAAGAAATAATTTGTATTCCATGAATGCTCAGACTTCTATATCTCTGAATTCCTTCTTGAAGTAAATTCTCATAAATTTCAGCTAATTACAATTACTTGGAACTAATTGCAATGGATTTCAGCAGACATTATACATACATTTTCCTTATTTCCTTATTTCAGCGAGCAAATTAATGCCAGCATAAATATGAATATTCCTAATTATATTTGTAACAATTAAAATCTTTATATTTTTAAAAAATATGTTGAATTAAAAATTCTTATGTCACATCTGGATTTGTAGTCTAGATTGTCCATTACTGCATTTTAATTTTTATAATATAAATCTTTCAGCTAGCCCCATGTCTAAAATATCCACAGTTCCAAATGTTGTCTTGGAGATTCTAAATGGAGATATAGCCAAGAAGAATATACATATCTTCAATATTCAGTGATTGATAGGTTCACATACTAATGATGTAAATCCAGAATATAATAGTAATAGTTTATATTCCAATTTTCAACTCATATTAACTTTCTTTGAGAAGTTTAATATGTATGAGGCATGTTTAGCTGACTTAATCTCATGTAAGAATGAAAAACAGCTTTCTTAAATTTGATCTAAAATAATATATCATTCATCTTTACTCAAAACCTATGCATTATTTTTTAAAGTTTGGAAGTTTTCTTGCAGATATTTCATTACCAAACTACAGTAGGTAACATCATCAGTGCTAAAAGGAAATGAGGTTTGCTCTCTTTTTATATAGTGTTGGCTTGCCCTATCAGTATTGGTGGAACTGTTCCTCGTGGTTCCTTTATTAGGCTTTTTTTCCCTACCATTAATTTGTTTATCTGCGTTGGTAGTTTCTTGGTTGAGATATTGTTTACTTGATTATTAATCTTGGCTGTTAATCTCTTCTCATATGGGTATTGATTGCTGGTGAGGAGATGTTTTGATCTTTTTGTTTCCTTTTTATTGCCTCTTTTGAGTGGTATGTAGATATTGTTTATCTCCATATGGTTGCTGTTGGCTGATTTGCCTCTCAATGCCAGGCCTTGAGGAATTCTCTGGCATTTTAGACGTGACTTGATCTAGGATTTCCATAGTTTCTCAATTGAAACTATGGTTGAATCTGTCCATATGAAATTAAGGAATTTCATTGTGTTTTCTGATTACTAATTGGTATTCATGGATGCACTCTGTTAGTATTCTGCCTGTGGTTCTATATAGTGGCCTTTAAGGTTCCTTATACTGTATGTTGTTATAACTCCGATATTAACAACTGCTGTAAAAATTATCATAAAATTACATCTTAGTTGACTTACAATTTCAATGACTTACAATGGACATTCCAGTCCCAGTTATAGTTGTATGTCAGAGACTAACTGTACATCTCTGCCCCTGGGGAATTAAATGATGCGGTGAATGCTTTATCCCAATGTCTGGAGACTGTGAAGTCTGCATGGGACAAAACAGCCTTCAACTGAACCCTGACAAGGCTAGTGATTTTGGGTTTTGGGTCTTACCAGTTTGAGAATTATAACATCTTTGCTATTAGATTGGATGACACTGCCTAAAACATCTAGCGCATAATTTGGGCATCCTTCTAAACTCATGAGTTGTTCTCAAAGAACATGTGACAGTCATGGCTGGGAGGGACTTTGCATAGCTACATATTATGCACCAAGTGTGCCGCTTCCTGTTTTGGGAGGTTCTGCTCACAATCATTCATGTCCTAGTCCCTTCCAGATTGGACTACTGTAATATGCTTTACATGGCTATCCTTGAAGACTGGAAACTTCAACTAGTACAGAATGCAGTGGTGTGGCAGTTAGGTGTGCTCCTAGAAGAGCACATAACTTTGCTGAATGAGCTGCATTGGTTGCCAGTCTGCATGGGGTCAGTTTATCTGAGGGACTGTCTTTCCACAATTATATAAGGCTGTTCCATTATATTTGACAGGAAAGGCATTTTGTAGATTCTATCCACCAGAAATTTAGTAGGTCCCAGAGGGTGCTCTGCTGTGGCACCATTCTTGTAGAACATTCTACAACCTGAAGTTAAGCTTGCTTCTTCCTGCTATCATTTAAGAAGTCCCTCATGTCTGTCATCACGCCTGGAGGTCTTTGAGAAACAGAGACATTTTTAGATGGCTTCACTCTGACATTCTTGTGCTATGAAATTTGTATATTTTTTTAAAAAAAATAATAGTGGGAGAAACAGTGAGAAGGGAGGGTGAGAGAAAGGGAGAGGGGGAGAGAGACACACACAAAGAGAGTGCAAAGAAGGACAGCTTTGGAATGTTCTGCAACATAAATGTAATTGGATGGAGGGGGAAAGAGAGTGATTACCACTAAAAAAGTCACCTATAAATTTAAAATATGAACTTCGGGGAAACTTAAATAAGTCAACCCCACCCCCAAAATGTCCAGGAAACTACATCAAAGGGTAGCTCCATGTGAAAGAAAGCATAACTGCTAAATCACATCTACTTGAGTTAAAGCAAGAATATCAACATTTAATATTGCTAGAAGCTCATTGATTCTATGTAATCCAGTCTGGACTGGTACATGGTATTTGAAACACCTGTAATTTACAAAGAAAAAAATAATGAAAGAAAAAAAAATAAAAATAATTTTAATGTTTGTTATCAAGGAAATAGATTTATAATTAGACACATAGCAGAATCTGGATCCAAAATCTGTATACCATTTCCATTTTTATTCCAAATAAATGATTCAGAATTTTCTTGATGTCTAATAATCACATATTAAACTTCACTCTTTTCATTATGACTCTCTGATTATGACTGTCTCTGTAACAAAAATGTTTCTATGGAACTGTTAAATACAGATTTGACACAGATCAAATATCTAAATGGAAAAGCAATATCTAAAGAAAAATAATTTTAGCTCTAACACTTAGACTTATATACTGCTTCACACTGCTTTACAGCCCTCTGTAAGCGGTTTACAGAGTCAGACTATTGCCCCCAACAATCTGGGTTCTCATTTTACCGACTTTGGAAGGATGGAAGGCTGAGTCAACCTTGAGCTGGTGAGACCCGAACTGCCAAACTGCTGGCAGCCAGTGTTCAGCAGAAGTACTCTGCAGTACTGCATTCTAACCACTGCTCCACCTTCTTATAGAAGAATTTAACTTTAAATTTAACCTCAAATAAATGATTTAGGGGTGTTCTACTCCTAAAAATAGTTAATGTAATGTAATCAGCACTAATATATAATTTATTTTTCCATCAAGAATAGGACTTATTTTAACTTCGATAATCAATATAAATGATTAGTATTTAGAAAATGATAGTCAAATTAATAAGGATCATAAGGATTTGGAAGAACCTTTGAATTAAGTTTGTATTAAAGGGAAAAAAAGCAAACAATTTTTTTTGCATGGTTTATATTTAACTAAATGCTAAAAAAAATTACAATGAAATGAGAAAAAGTTACATAATCAAAGAAAAATATATATTACTATGTATAATTTAAATTTGGGAAGTTTTTTATTTTGCTTTTTGAACTTTTGTTTTCTTTAATAGAATTCAAAAAAAATCCCATTGGTGATTTATTTCCTTGTTCAGTGTGGGTTTCTTCTCTTTATATAGTTCTTTTAAGATTTTTTTTTTTAAAAAAAACCAATATATTCCATCACAAAATACAAGTACATTTATCTATTTAGCATACATGGAAAAGACAAACAAATAACTATTTAAAAAACATTAATTGTCATGTACTTTTTATGTTTATTAAAATTATATTTAGAAGAAAATTTGAAAGTTGTGTATTACTGTCTGAAACTAGTGGACAACATGAGAAACTGGTTTAATTTTCTGATTTTGTAGTGTACTAAATTGATAGACTACTCTTAAATTATTTTTTGATTCTTTCAAATATTCATTTTATGAATTAAGAGTTGATTTTATGGACACTATGTGAATTTGTAGTAAAAATATATTACAAACCATTACAGAGAAAAATCTTTGCAAATAACTTGGCTCTTCCATGGCAATAGTAACTTAAGTTGAACTATTCTTTGTTTTCATAAAAACAGTCCTGCCTAGCTCATCTTTATCACCAAAGAAGTTATAAAATTGTTTTCACAGGGAAGACATAAAAAATGAAATATTTAAGATGCCAGCTGTTGTTTCCATCTTTGCATAGAAGAAGGGAATATGATTGCCCCTATTTATTAAATCTTAATATTTAGCTCAAGGATGGGCAAACTAAAGGCCTCGTGTTCCCAACTTTGCACTACCAGACCATTTCCAGAAAACTTTATCAAAATTAAGTGGATGACATGAGTCGGGCATTTTTTATTTTTTATTTTTATTTGTTTTAATTTGTATACCGCCCTTCTCCAGCAGAACTCAGGGCGGTGAACAGCCAGAATAAAACAGAACATACAAAATTTAAAAACAGTTTAAAAATAATTAAATATTTTTGGCCACAATTTAAAACAACCCAATTAAAATCAATTCAATTTAACCAAAACAGTGGGATCAAGCCACTGTTATTTTTGCTAAAATAATTAAAAATTTAAAAAATACATAAAACTATGGCAAGCACTAATATGCCAGTTTTGCCAATTAAGCCCTTCAGATAGATTAAAGTTTTGATTTTATCTCTTTTATTCATACAGTCACATTATGCAACATGAATCCTGCCATTCAAATACATGAAAACAAATGACACACAAAATTGCTTCTCAGTCCTGGTTCATGCACTTAAAAAAAATTAAATGTTAATTTAACTTAATTATTTAAAAATAAATTAATTTTTTAATGTGTTTTCAAGTCATAGGCACATAAAGGCTTTTCTTATGTCATTTGAAGAGAAAATCAATTCCTTTGTGTTTCTCAATTAATTCGTCCCCAAAAGATCTTTTAAAGTTCATTAGTTAGGAGAACTCTTGTGGGCTCATTATACTTTAAATTTGCATCCAGTTTATCTCTTCTTCTCCTTCTCTCCAATTGTAGGGGGAAATTTGCAGTAGTAAAGAAATGTGTAAACAAACAGACTGAAAAAGAGTTTGCAGCAAAATTCATGAGGAAAAGAAGAAAAGGCCAAGATTGTCGAATGGACATAATTCATGAGATTGCAGTCCTGGAACTAGCACAATGCAATCAATGGGTTATTAATTTGCATGAAGCATATGAGACGCCAACAGAAATTATTTTGGTTTTGGAATAGTAAGTAATATCTTTTTATGCCTTAGTGTAGCATGTTTTAATATGTGCTTGATGAAATAACTTTAGTTTCCCTCTAATTTATTTTGTTTTTATCCTGCTTTATCTCTCAAGCTCTGAACCACAGCCAAGAAACAAGCAAAATAAACAAAGAACATGGAACATATGAAGTATAGAATAAGGTTTCACCTTTGGAACAGAAATTTATTTCAGAAATATTAGAGTTTACTAATAGCGGAAGCAAAGTGCCCCAAATAAATGGTTTAGATTCTTTTTTTTCCTAATATTTTTATTAAGATTTAGATAGAACAATAAAAGATAAATTCAAGCTAAAAAGAAGAAAGGGAATAAAGTGTGTATGTGTGTATTCTCAAGAATGCAACTTCCCACCCTCATCATGACAAATAAAAACATAATCTCTTCACCTTCTCTTAATTAAAAAAATATAACTTTCTTCATTTTACAACCTGTTAACAATAAACAAATTAAATAAACCTTTTCCAATTCAATTATCAGTAAAAAGCTTAGAACTCTAAAATATTAGAATTAATTAGCTGATTGATTGCTGTTAGTATAAGGAAGAGTTTCCATTTTTTCTCTCCTTTTCTGTGTGTTCTTTATAATGTTTAATTTACCTCATGATGTTCCTGTGTTCCTGACTATCTTGTGTTTTTTCTTTCTCGATGATGACCAAGACTTCCGTAAATTTAAATGGTTTATATATATATATTACTTTGAGAAATAATACATTGGAATGTAAAGCTAGATTGAAAGCTACTGTAAGGATATCTAAAATAACTATTGTGGTAAGAACTAAAACACCTTATTAAATGTAAACATGCCATTTTTCTAGTTGAGTTACCAGTGAATTCAAATAAAAACCCCTAACCCAACTGCAATAATGTAATCCTTGATTTATGACATAATTGGGACTTAAATTTCGGTTGTTAAGCAGTGCAATCATTAAGCAACTCATCACATGACTAGACCCAATTATACAACCATTTTTATTATGGTCATTAAGTAAATCACAGTCGTTAAGCGAATCTGGTTTTCCCAATTGACTTTGCTTTTCAGAAGCCAGCTGGAAAGGTCACCAAGAGTGATCACATGATCCTGGGATATTGCAACTGTCATAAATGCAAGCTAGTTGCCAAGCTCCCAAATTGTGGTTATGTGACCTCAGGATGGTGCAACAGTTGTAACTTTGAGGATGGACTGTAAGTCACTTTTATTGAGGATATCATTACTTCTAATCATTGTTAAACAAATGATCATAAACCACAGACTGTATATACCTTTCCCATTTTATGCCAACTTTCTATTCTACTTTTTCTTTATAATTCATTCATATGATTGGTGATCCTTGTTACAGATTTATTTACTATATTCAACCATCTCTATTGTGAATCCAGTAAAAAGAAATTATTCCAATTCTCTTCTGGGATTGTCATTTTTATTTATTTCTTAATTTTTAAAGCATCATCCAGTTTTTGCTGTGTCTTTTTTTTTTTTAAGACAATTCTTATTCTGGGTCTTGTTTATGTTTTCTTGGGTAAACTTTGCTGCCTATCTTGTTCTGTAGCATCTTTTTTTTAAAGAATAGATTGCTTCAAGAAGACATAACATAGCTGACATAATTAAATCAAATTTCTGCATCTGATGCAGATCCTAATACCATGTCTCAAAGATGTCTCTGTTAATATAAATTAGTTGTCTTGTTGGGTCTAAAGTATGCAGGGGATTGCATGGATGGAAAGAATATGCAGGGGTTCTCAGAGGTCCTTTTTCAAAAGGCAACTGGACTTCTTGAGAAAGAAGAAGAAATTTTGCTTCTCATCCTAGAAGCTTCATCCCTGGATAAGAAGCAAAACTTCTTCTTCCTTAAGGAAAAACAGTCCAGTTGCCTTTAGAAAAAACAGCTTTGAGACAGCTATGACTTGGATGACTGAGAATCTCTATAGACATTATGCAGAGATTCCTTCCTCCTTGCTTCTCCTCCCTCCTCCCTTCCTTTTCCAGCTAGCAGATAGTAACTGATGGGGGAGGGAGGAAACAAGGAATTGTGGGACTGGCCTGGAAACTGTCATGGAATGTTGAAAATGATGATACCATGATTGCAGCAGCAGTTTAGTAGGAACCAGTAGCACTGAAGCAGATACAACTTTCCTCCATGTGAATCATGGGTCTTGGATTTTGGAAACATTCTGTAAATTAGCCCATTTGAAATACTTTGGTTCAAAAATTGTTGTCCTAGGATACATTGTTTAACTCAGCTAGAGGTTATGACAATGGGAGTTTTAGTATATTGATATCTATCTATATCATATTAAAAATTGAAACAGAGAATGTTTCTTATAGTAGAAACTTGGAGGTCTGATAAGGCTTCCTCCTCCTTCTATTTAGTAAATTAGGAAGGCATTTGCCGCTACTGAATGTTGCTCCATTTGCGACCCAAAAATGCTTCAGTTCCTGTTGTCTAGCCAATGGATCTTGGGAATCTACTTTAAAATCTCTTTCTTAATTTATACATAGCCTCAATAGCTGATTCTAGATATTATTCTACCATGCACAACTCAGCTAATGTTAAGTAAAATGTTAACATGTTAAGTGAAGAAGGTAAATGATCATATGACATCTAACGTGAACATACTGCATGGAATCTGTCTGTCTGTCTGTCATCAATTGACTTCTATTGACTTCTAGTTTGCCCATTTCACTGAGACACCTCTAGGCAGCTTATAGTCAAGGAATTAAAATACCACACAAAACATTAAAACAGTAAATAAGAACCATACGTTTAAAAACTCAGGTATAATCAGTCTATGATCTGCTAAACCCAATTTAAAGTATGTGGTAGGGTTGGGCTCAAGTATTTAAATGTTGCCCCCCAACACTATCTATTCAATAGATTAAGATTACTCAAAGAGGCATTGCTTATAATTCCACTGGTGGATAATATTTTTTTATTGATGATAAGCCCATTCTGAGCTTCTCTAGAAGGAAGAAGAGTATATTCATTAATTGTCTTATTTCTAGAAAAATTACCCTCTATACCACTTCTTATACAAAGGGAAGGAAAAAGATTAATTGCGGCATAACATAGTCACTGCTCATTATAAAGAGAATTGTTACTTATCTAGTCTAGCTAAATTATTTTAACGGGAAGAATTAAAGGAAATTGATTATTTGGTTAACTTTTATTTTCAGAAGAATTGCCTTTTAAAGATTAGGGATATGTGATTTAAACTTGAAAACAGGGTATTTGGTTTATGAAGGTTTTTTAAATAAATATTGAGTGAGATATTGGAAAGAGTCTCTGATAGAATCTTCATACTTCTTAATCCATGCATAAAAGGTACATTTTTGTAGACGTTTATTTTTAATTCTTCTATTTTTATACAAAAAAGTCTTAAATATAGTAACTGAGTTCCCTCTTACTAAACTGAAGTATAAACATTATATACTCTAAGAACCTAAACAATGAAATATTTTACTTAAATAGTTCATGGGGGTTACTATAAAACTAACTTCCTTCCAAAGGAGGTTTGGTTAATTCTACCTTTGCTGGCAGGCAAATATATATTTTATTCAGTTCTTCTGATGTTGAAATTGATTTGCTGTTGAATGTGGTCTAATCTGTTACGTGTTTTGATTTCCATGGATATATTTTTATTTGAATTTTAATATTTTCATTGAAATGTTTTAACTTATTAAAATCATCTTAAGCATAATTTTTAATATAAAGATGAAATATAAATGTAATTAATAGTGAATAATTGGAAATTATATACAAATGTTCTTATTCTCAGTGCTGCTGGTGGAGAAATCTTTGATCAGTGTGTAGCTGAAAGAGAAGATGCCTTCAAAGAAAAAGATGTTAAGCATCTCATGAGGCAGATTTTACAAGGAGTTTCTTTTTTACATCAAAACAATGTAGTTCATCTTGACTTGAAGGTAAGATAATAATTCTGAAGAATTGAAGTAATATTAAGAATCCATTTTCCTCTTAAATTCTTCATTATATTAAAAGTTGTTTTATTTTTTTAGGTGTTCTGATTGCTTATTTTGAAGAATACATTGTGACATTTTAGAGGTTTTGATTTTTGGTGGAAAAGACTTTTCTGCCTATTTAGGAACTAACTTCTACCTCTGCCAAACTGTTCTTCAGTTGTCCCTAGTATGTACTGCAGGTTATTTTAGCTCTATTTTTTTTTCCTGATGGTCAGTTGTACATCCAAATATAATATTATGCAATTGTGTAGAGCCCAGACTGAGAATCTTCTAATAGTGCAATTTTGGTACATATTCATTGTGCACATGTGAATCAACTTTTCCCTTGTTACATAATTTTTTGAAACACTAACAGGAAGGCTGGCGTACCTGTCAGTTCAGGTACTTGCAGAGGGGAAAGGAACATATTTATGTAAATGCAGATTAAAAACTACAATTTCAGGTAAATAATTTAATCTACATGGTTTTTCTTTATTATATGTATAGAGTAATTAATGTTTACCTCCCATGTGATAAGGCAGTGCATCAAGCCAAAGAAGAATTGAGAACAAAAAATTTTATTACAATGATGTTTGAATTCTGACATGAGTATCTATTCCTACTTGATGTAGATCAGTGGTGGGATTCAAAATTTTTTACTACCGGTTCTGTGGGTGTTGCTTGGTGAGCACAGCGTTGTTTGGTGGGCATGGCAGGGGAAGGATACTGTAAAATCTCCATTCTCTCCCCACTCCAGGGGAAGGTTACTGCAAAGTCTCCATTTCCTCCCAATCAACTGGTACTAGGGAGGCAGAGAATAGACGGGGGCGGGGCCAGTCAGAGGTGGTATTTACCAGTTCTCCGAACTACTTAAAATTTCCGCTACCGGTTCTCCAGAACTGATCAGAACCTGCTGAAAAGCATCTCTGATGTAGATTAATGTTTGAAACTGTAGTGCTATCTTGCAACAATCTGATTAAGGGATGCTATGTTGTATATAATGGAAAATGATGATGCATTTATTTTAGACTGATTCCTAGACGAATTGATGCCAGATGACTTACAACATTACAAACTAGTGTTATTTCTGAGCAAAGCATTTGTAAGGACAGGCTAACTCTACTTTGGTTCCCCAAATAAGATACCTGCTAAAATATTACAATGCAGTGCCAAAGAAGCTAAAGAAGATTGCACATCCAGAAAATGCAAGAAACTCTTGATGTCAGAAAAGGGAGGCAGGAAAAATATGTGCAGTATTGGAATATGGGAAGATCCGTAGTCATCTTAGGGAAAATAGTAGCATCTGGTATGAAAACCAACTTTTTCTATAGAATTTCAAATGGTTTCATCAATTTTGTTATCACAACATACATTGGTATTAAAAACATTGTTTTCAGTATCAATATCCAGAGATTCAGTTACCAGTGATTTGAATGTTAGGACAAAAAGGTTGATACATACATAGGTATAATCTTGCTGTAGGACATAAGGCATTATTATTATGGTTCATTGTATAATCAGTGTGGTGTTCAGATTGGATTTGGCAAAGCTCTCTTCTCAATGTGACTTTTTATCATTTTCCATCTTGGGATTTATAGCATCATGTAATTTTTTGTTTCAAAGTTTAGGCCTAAGGATCTAGCACTATCAACTACAGCAATATTTGCATTGGTAAAAAGTGCATGCTTTACATAATTACAGGTTTTGCTATCTGTAAAAAAATACATTTAATTTGGAAAATCAGACTTAAGGCCAAAAATATCTTATGCTGATTAATCAGACAAGCAAAGCCTTACATCACAGCTATAATACAATGTACACATAAAAGGAGCTCTATTGGACTCCCTGTAGATATGCTCAGATAAAGTTTGCATTCTTTTGTAGCATGACAGGTGTAGAGAGCAGATTTGCTGTGTCAAGACATTCCAACCTGCTTCTCAGTTAAGATAGAGGTTTGCATCACCAGCGCAAGATTCAGGTCCAACTTGGCAGTTCAGTTTAATTTTAACTGGCTGCCAGTTAAACTCTAGGTCTTAGTCAGAAATGAAATTTCCACTTATTAGTCTTCTGACTAATCAACAGCCACAGAACTTTAATGAACCCTGCTATTAAAGGATAGGTTTTTCAAATCTGGCCCTCTATTCTTGCCTATATTAACCAAGATTACTACTACTACTTCTAACAAAATTCTAGGAATATTGAATATGTGACTTCAAATGTGGACATTTTAAGATTGTCTATGCAATGTAGCACACATACACACACCCCTATTTTTTGGGGGGGGGACGTTGGCTTTATTTTACTATTTTCCTTTTTAAAAGTTACTGATTTTTTTTTTGTTTGCCATAGTAAATAAAAAAAGGAATAAAAACTGATGAAAACAAATCTTAAATATCATTATTTCTTCAGATCCTGCAGTTAGCTGTTTTATTTTCTGAATGGATGAATGAGTTAATTATATGGGGAAATTGGTTAATCCTCTAAGGAATCATTTTTGTCACTTGGTAAAATTAAGTAGGGAGACATTTAAATATAAAGATGACAGTTTATAGTATTTGTGAGGTTGTTTGTGGACATGGTTTTTTATAAAAAAAAAGTTTAGTCTTTAGGATTTGTGAGCATGAGGTAATCTATACACACAGAGCATTTTCCATTCATATAGCTTCCTGCAAGTCAGTATGGTTGGCAAGAATGCATACAGCAGCATCTTTTCTCTTTGTGGAGAATGGTAGCCCCCTTGGGCTTAAACTGAGGCTCTGCTCTGCTGCAACATTGTGATTATTGTATATTGTCTCTGGATAATAATAGATCAATTACTTGGGTCCTTCAGATGACAAAGAGATTATTGACAATATGGAGATGAATCATCTACATGGACAATTCAAGACTGTAATATATACCCAGTTGATTGAAATATATCTATTATACAATGCTTGAGTAAGCACTGGCAAAGTAAATTAACAACTTCAAAGCAGGATGCTTAAGAAAGCCCATTGAGTGAAGTGGTAACATTGGAAAGAAGACCATTATCTGTTAAAAAATCAGTTAAAAGCAATTTATAGTATCCTGATATTAATTCTAGTGAAGTAAAGAATTACAATTGTAACAACTGAAAAAAAATGTAGCTCAGAATTGAACTGTGGAGCCCTTGGTGCTCTTTGAGCTTGGTTGTTGTTGTTTTGTAGATATTTTGTCACCCAACTGGGTAACATCTTCAGTACTAGAAAGTTGTTGAAACATCTGCAAGAAAACAGATATTTTCAGATAGCTCAAGGGCTCCCAACTGTCATTGAGCTGTCCATATAGATCAGGGGTCAGCAACCTGCGGCTCTGGAGCTGCATGTGGCTCTTTCACTGCTCTGCTGCGGCTCCCTGGCACTCAAAATATGTGTCACAACCGCCAAGGTGTGACACCCACCAGCACCCGATTTATTGAGCTTTTCAACCTCCAGTAGGCCAACCATGGATAAATCCAAGAAAAGAAAAGTTGAGAAGAAAACAAAACGTTTAATTCAACTACATATGCTAGTTTTGTGGCCGCTCAAGAAATAATCAGGCATGGGAAGGTTTTTGTGGTTCCCGGTGTTTTCTGTGGGAAACGGGTCCAAAAGACTCTTTGAGTGTTTAAGGTTGCAGACCCCTGATATAGATAAATCATTTCTAAATAACCTTAATCACAGTGTAGGATTTCAAAACCAGTTTGGCAAGAAGAAAGTACTATGCTATAGGAAATAAAGCCTTCACTTGGATTGAGACCAGGATATTTATATATTGTTAATTGGAAGAAGTACAGAATTATTTTTCTGAACTGACACAAAGAGCCAGGCACAGAATATTTAAAGAGTGCTATTGCTGAGATATGTTGGAAATGGTTGAATTGACATTGCAGGACAATTAGCTGAATATATTATTTGAAACACAATGTTAACTACATTAGAGAGGTTGATGAACCTCACCCCAGCACTAGTAAGTGCTCAGTGTAAGTTTGCGGCATAAAGAGAGAAAACTATTGATTTCTCAAAACATAGCCTAGGGAAAGTGGTATCAGTATATATGATCTTATACAGGAGGGGGGAGCGGACCTGGCAGCTATTACTGAGACCTGGTTGGGCCCGGAGGGAGGGGTCCCCCTGGTTGAGATGTGCCCACTGGGCTTCAGAGCATTTCATCAGCTGAGGGCGCAGGGGAGGGGCGGGGGGGTGGCGGTTATTATTAAAGAAGATCTTGGTTCGAGGGAAACCACTGTGCCACAGATTGCCGGATGTGAAACCCTCTTTGTGAGATGGGGTCATGGGGTTCAGATGGGCCTGTTGCTCACGTACCTGGCTCCCTACTGCGTGGCAACAGCCCTGCCCGAGCTACTCGACGTGATAGCCACGGTGGCAGTTGATACACCCAGGCTTATGGTCATGGGTGATTTCAACTTGCCATCAGTTGGTGAGACGTCTGAGATGGCACGGGAGTTCATGGCTTCCATGACGGCCATGGACCTGACCCAGTTAGTTCATGGCCCCACTCACGGGGGGGGTCACACTCTGGACTTGATTTTCGTCTCTGGCCAGTGGTTGAGTGGCCTTGTTATAGGGGATATAGACATGGAACCCTTGTCATGGTCTGACCACTCACTCCTTCGCCTAGATCTTCGAACTGCTACACCCCGCCGCAGGGAGGCGGAGCCTACAAGATGGGTCCGCCCCAGGCGCCTGATGGATTCTGATAGATTCCAGACGGAGCTTGGGCCATTTCCTGAGGTTCTAGCTCAGGACTCGGTCTGGGACCTGGTGGCAGCCTGGGATCGGGCCGCTAGCGGAGCCTTAGATCGAGTCGTGCCTTTGCAGCCTCTGACCCGGTCCCGATCCCTCGCGGCTCCTTGGTTTACTGAGGAGCTGAGGGAGATGAAGCGCCGGAAAAGACGCCTGGAGAGTGGTTGGAGGGCCAGTCGCACTGAATCTGACCGAACACTGGTAAGGTCGCATATTAAGACCTACCTAGTGGCGATAAAAGCGGCAAAGTCTAATTACTTTTCCGCTCTTATTGCGTCATCAGAGAATCGTCCGGCGGCCCTGTTCAGAGTGACCCGCTCCCTGCTTCAACTGGGAGTGCGGGAGGACCCTCTGGAGGGCAGGGCTGAGGATTTTGGACGGTATCTGTATGACAAAATCGCTCAGATCCGGCAGGATTTGGACTCTTGACTGGGTAGATCCAGGCAGGATGACGAGGAATAGTCTTGAGAATGTTATCTGGGAAGAGTTTGACTCTGTGACTCTGGATGACGTGGACAGGATTTTGGGGAGACTTAATGCGACCACATGTTTATTGGACCCGTGTCCCTCCTGGTTAGTACTGGCTTCCCGGGAGGTCTCACGAGGCTGGCTCCAGGGAATTATCAACGCTTCGTTGAGTGAGGGTCACTTCCCCACTACCTTGAAAGAGGCGGTGGTGAGGCCTCTCCTCAAGAAGCCCTCCCTGGATCCGGCAGTACTGGCTAACTATTGTCCTGTTTCCAACCTTCACTTTGTGGCGAAGGTTGTTGAGAGTGTGGTCGCACGACAGTTCCCACAATTCCTGGAGGAAACGTCCTATCTAGACCCGTTCCAGTCGGGTTTCAGGCCTGGGCAGAGCACGGAAACGGCATTGGTCGCGTTGGTTGATGATCTCTGGAGGGCTCGGGACAGGGGTTGCTCCTCTGTTCTGGTCCTATTAGATCTCTCAGCGGCTTTTGATACCATCGACCATGGTATCATGCTGCACCGGTTGGAAGAGTTGGGGATGGGGGGCACCGTGTTACGGTGATTCTCCTCCTTTCTCTCAGACCAGTCGCAGTTCGTGTTGGCAGGGGGGCAGAGGTCAACCTCGAGGCCTCTCATCTGTGGAGTGCCGCAAGGGTCGGTCCTCTCGCCCCTTCTGTTCAACATTTATGTGAAGCCGCTGGGCGAGATCATCTGTGGCTTTGGGGTGAGATACCACCAGTACGCTGATGACACCCAGCTGTACATCTCCACCCCAGGCCATCCCAGTGATGCCCTTGAAGTGATGTCCCAGTGCCTGGAGGCTGTACGGATTTGGATGGGAGGAACAAGCTCAAGCTCAACCCTTCCAAGACTGAGTGGCTGTGGTTCCCGGCATCCCGATATAGTCAGCTGTCTCCATCGCTGACTATCGGGGGCGAGTCTTTGGCCCCCATTGAGAGGGTACGAAATCTGGGAGTCCTCCTGGATACGCAGCTGTCTTTGGAGGAACATCTGACAGCTGTAACCAGGGGACCTTTTGTCAGGTTCGCCTGATTCGCCAGTTGCGGCCCTTTCTTGATCGGGATTCCGTGTGCACAGTCACTCATGCCCTCGTCACCTCTCGCCTGGACTACTGCAACGCTCTCTACATGGGGCTCCCCTTGAGGAGCACCCGGAAGCTCCAACTGGTCCAGAATGCGGCCGCGTGGGTAATTACGGGAGCTGCATGGCACTCCCGCATAACACCGCTCCTGCGCGAGCTGCACTGGCTCCTAGTGGTCTTCCGGGTGCGCTTCAAGGTGTTGGTTACCACCTTTAAAGCGCTCCATGGCATAGGACCTAGTTATCTCCGAGACCGCCTTCTGCCACCGACGACCTCCCATCGACCCGTGCGCTCCCACAGAGAGGGCCTCGCGGTGCCATCAGCCAAGCAATGCAGGCTGGTGACCCCCAGGTGGAGGGCCTTCTCTGTGGGGGCACCTACCCTTTGGAATCAGCTGCCCCCAGAGATAAGGAGAATCCAAGACCTCCGTGCCTTCCACCGTTCCCTTAAAACTTTCCTTTTCCAACAAGCCGGGCTGGCCTAACAATGCCTTTTAAATGATTTTAAATTTGTATGTTTCTTAAATTTTTGGCCAAATTGAGATGTTTCCTTTTAATTTGTTCTTAATGTTTATATTATGTGTTTTTATCTGGCTGTACACCGCCCTGAGTTCCCAGGAAGAAGGGCGGTATATAAATTCGAAGTAAAATAAAATAAATAAAATAAATATAATTGATACTCTGTCAAATTCAAACTTCTTCAAAAGAGATTTTTGATGCTGACCAGATACTATAATTACAAGACTATTCCAGACTGTTCAGAATCCTACAAAACTTGATCTGAATTATAGCCTTCAGGAACAACTTAAAACATTGGAAATAAATATTGGAATTGTTGTACGGTAATCATTAAGGTAGTGTGATAAGAAAGGCAATCCCACAGTTGCCTGAATAGATACTATAATGATTGTTCAGAACAAATGATACACAAAATAATTTTTGGTTCACATAATAAACTTAAATTGGTGATGGAGCAGATATAGATTAATGAATACTAGATTTGACAGCAGTGACCTTTGTCCTAAATAGGTGGCTAGAAATATAAATAACATATGGTAAAATCTAAAGCTTTGGTGTGCAGAAATGTTACATGCCTGATAGGAAATGGCTGAACTATTTTCCAGTAAACTTATTTCCTTTTATATATTTTTAGCCGCAAAACATTTTGTTAACTTGTGAATCGCCATTGGGACAAATTCGGATAGTTGACTTTGGACTTTCCAGAGTAATGAAAGATAATGAAGAACTAAGAGAAATTATGGGAACACCTGAATATGTTGGTATGTTTGTTATTTATGTGATCTTCAGAGCCAATATCTTGCAGCATATAATGCAAACATTTGAGTTATGTAATATTCATCAGAATTTAAGCTTTGAATGTTTCAGATCTTATAATATTCAATTTCTATTTCAATAGAAAACCAGAAGAACAAATAAAATCTTTTCACTGTTTCTGTGAGCATAACCTGCTTTTACTAGTTAGCATTACATTGCTTAAATTGCATTTGATTCTTGCAGCAGGGCTGGCAAAGCAGATTTTCCAGCCATTTCTTTCCCAAGTTAACAATATCAATAACACTTAGACTTATATAATGTCCTATAGTGTTTTACAGCATTCTATGGGCAGTTTATAACATCAACATATTGCCCCCACAATCTCGATCCTCATTTTACTGAAGGATGGAAGGATGAGTCAACCTTAAACCCATCAAGATTGAACTCTAGAATATGGGCAGAGTTAGCCTGCATTCTAACTACTGCACAACCAGGGTTCTTTTAAGGTTGCTCCTCTAATACTGTGAAAATGCTTTGCAGAATGTTGGATAGCATTTTATCTGCTTATAAAGTAGCTATATAGGGAAGGGGAGACTCATGCAAATCAAGTAATGGCACTTTCACTAGCACCCATTCTTGGAAATTTGAGTTTTTGGAGACTTTCCTTAACACAATATGTCCCAATATTATATTACTTAGAAATCTCAAAAAAGATAGTAAAATACTATTCAGCCATGATCATAATAAGGAAATAATTAGGTTTTAATACATTGTTTCCAGAAGGCAATTAGTTTCTTTTTTTAATATTCAAGATTTATTACATGTTTGATGTTTTGTATACAATTTGCCTTTGAACATAAATAAAATTTGATTAGCATGTTATACTTCAACTTACATCTCAACATGAAGTTTATCTTTTCTGTTTATCCTTTTAACATTATTATACTGTTTCAGTTGTCAGTGTCAAGGGCTGAAGAATTTGTTTCTACCAACTAGATTACATATGTCAAAAGAAATACAAATCACCATCTCTTTGCCATCTTATTGCTGTCTTTTTTGTAACTTAACTGTATTTTTTTCTAATAGCTCCAGAAATTCTAAGCTATGATCCACTCAGTACTGCAACAGATATGTGGTAAGAAAAACTGTTTATTGAAATGTTAATTCAAAACTACGTATTTTTTTCTCATGAAACTTAGACATTTTTATTTTGTTTTTCTATTTAGGAGCATTGGAGTATTAACATATGTCATGCTAACAGGAGTATCACCTTTTTTGGGGAATGATAAACAAGAAACATTCTTAAATATATCTCAGATAAATGTAAAGTACTCTGAAGATTTTGATTTTGTATCTGAATCTGCGGTAGATTTCATCAAATCTCTTTTGATTAAAAAATCTGAGTAAGATGTATTTCAATTATTTTGCTTCATGAGTATTGACTTATGCAAATGAAAAATAAGAATTGAAAATGTAAATGATTAAGTTATGTTACTCTTGGCTTAATAATGTATTTCACAATATCATCTTGTGATTTTGCATTAGCAGTGGATTTAGCTAGACTTGAATGATTCTGATGATTAAACTGGAAATATCAAACTTATAGGTATGATTTTAATATATGTAATCTAACTTTTCTGGAGGCAGATTCACAGGTTGGTGCTCAAGGCTACTGTGATATAATCTGTTTACTTCATCCTAAAATAATAAAAAAAAAGCTCTGATAAAAATATAAGTTTTAAAAAAAGAATTTGACTATTTGCAATAGATTGTGTCCTAATATTTGGAAAATATAGTTCTTGTGAAGTTGAAATATTCTCAAAGCTAACAGGATCCCAGAATGTGATTTTAAGCCTTAACATTTTGTAGCCAGACTCTTTAAGTCAATTTCTTTTCTTTTCTGTTTAGGAAACGGGCAACTGCAGAAGAATGTTTGCTGCATTCTTGGCTGGCTCAAACTGATATTCCTGATAAAATAAGCTGTATTAAAAACACAGAAGATGAAACAGATGCTGTTACTGTAAATGAAGTCTCTACATCTGAAAATTCTACAAGTGGAGAAAAAACAGAAGAACCAATAGTAAAAGAAGAACTTCTTTTAATGGCTTCCTATACACTGGGTCAATGCAGGCGATCAAAAAAAGATAAAATTGTTACACACAAAACTATTTCAAAACTATTTAAATTTAAGGAACCATTTCTCCATGAAATACCTGGAGTTTACTGAATACTTTGAGTTTCTGCTTTGAGCCCTAACTTGTAAAATTGGCTCTTTTTTCTTAAATCAGTTATGTACAGCTAAATAATATTCACCTTAATTTTCTATGGAATTGATATTATTGATATTATTGGAAATACTTAATACAGAGAAAAGCTGAAAACATTAGTTTATTCTAAAGTATCCAATACATGCAAAGCATTGTTTTATATATTCTGTATAATTATTTATTCATGGAAGATATTTGAATTGCCTGAATAAAACTGATATATTTTTTTCTTCAAGTGCATAAAATAACAACAGTTAAAATTTGAATACTAGTATATAAGCTCGTTCAGTTTCCAGATTTCATAATTTAATATTATTTCTGATAAATGCCTCTACCTATAATCCTAAATTTAATTTTAATGTTTGCCATTGGGAAAGGGAGGAAGTTCTTTTGAAATATGTATATAGTTTTGGTATTTAGGTCTTTGGTTATTGGTATTTAGGTTTTGGTATTTAATCTATATAATTATCATTTGGTGACCAATAGTCCTGTTCTATAGTTATTACAAAAAAAAAAAATACAATGTACTTTTAGTTTCTAGTAAATTTAAATAGACTTGTACTTAAATTGGCCAGTGGGCTTTTACTGGTCCTATTTAAACTATTTGTCACTAAGTAAGAAATAATTTTTTTATTGTGAAAAAAGGGGTGAAAATGTAATTGTAAAACTTTTGCAATAAAAAAAAGAAAAGAAAAAAAAATGAAAAAAAAAAAGAAATAATTTTTTTAGCTTTATTCCTAAATTTATTTTACTTCTACACTCCTAGTTTATCAAGATGTTTCATCTTCCTTAAAAAAAAAAAATCCTGATCACAGGAATAGGTATAGGCTGTTGTTACTTCACAGATTATTTTTTTCTATGTAGTTATAAAGAGATAGATGTGCTATAACAAAGAATGAAAGACCCCAAAACCCCAATTATATGCAGAATATACATCATGCAGTTTATCTATCATGATTTGATTACTTCTTAAAATTTGTATTCTACATTCTTCATGAAAAGTGCTTTATTTCTAATAGATTTAGTAAGTTTGGGGAATAATATTAAACATTTATTTCAGAACCATGTTTAGATTATATGATTCAAACTATATAATTTGATTAAGTTTCTGTAAAAATTCAACATTAGTGCACTAGAAAATTTGAAGAAATGTTCAATATGAAGATAGTTTATTAATTTATATTAAGTGTAAATGCAAGTTTCTGACTTCATACTTTATAAGAAATTGTGAGGATCTAGCAGTGCTTCTTCGAGGGAAACATTGATTTTGTGCTTATTATTAATTAATGCAAGATTTGTGTTTGTGTATATCCATATTTCAATTCAAGTGCATCCTTAATATGTATTTTTTTGTTAGCTCGTAGTTGTAAATCCGAAAAGAACTAAAGGCTTTTACAATTATGAGTTAACATAATGAAACCATGAGTAGTTGAATAAAGAGGATGTCTGTTATTTTCAGTTGCATATTAAATTGAACACTATGTCAACCATAGTAAGATCATTACACAAGTATTGTGAATTATGTTATTTGTATTATTTTTGTTACTGTGTGATTATAGAATGATGAAAATTTACCTATGACTGCAGTGGAGCCTGCCCATTATGATTGCATGTTGCAAGACAGCCTCACTATACAGCCCCTTTCCCTTCTCTCCCTGAAGCGCTCATTAAAAAATCTAATCATTTCTTCAGTTCCTAGTTAGAAATATAGATAAGGACTTGCACTCTGGATACTTTGGTCATAAATGCAGCATAGTCAACGGAAAAAAAACTTTTAGAATACAGGAGTACCTTTATAAACAGTTATGAACAGTAAATAAGTACTATGTCTTTAAATAGCTAAGCAATTTTACAAAATCGTGATAGGTGTGCTATGATTATATATATAAATCTTTAATGCCTTTAAATTATAGCTCGATCAATGGTTCTTCCATTGATCAATACAAAAATTATTTCTTTAATGTGGTAAACTGGTTTTTCTGGTTCTTTAATGATCTTTAGAAATTTGGATATCATAATTTTTCTTCAATGAGGAATATTCATAATGTTTTAAGGAAATGTTCAATTCTGAAGTTGTTTCCTGCTTTCCAGTTAAGAGAAAATTGTCATCCTATCCCAAAGAGTTTCTATTAAATAATACTAAAGTCTTAATTGCTTCATAACTTTTGCTGTGCCTTAGTTGAAAAAGTATCTCCATCACTAATAATAGCAGCTTTGTTTTACTAGTATAGTCCTGAAAGCTAAGCGTATACTTTCATAAGAGGCAACTTTTTGATAGTTCAACTCTAAACCATCTATTACATATTAAATTTCACAAAATCAATGAGACTATGCCAAGCTCCTAATTGACTTTGCAGTTGTGCCATTTGTTTCATAAAATTCATTGCTATAACATGGAGTAGTTCTTTCCTCTAGTGCGTAAATTTTGTGTTTGAAAATTTTGTTCTCTGAGTCATCAATATGTAATTGAAATTCACTTAAATTCACAAGGAATCATCTTATTGACTTAAAAGTTTAAATTCCACTTCCTTTTTCTTCAGCAAAGCTTACTAAGCAGTACTCAATTATAAAAAGCACTATCTTTTGTTCATAGCTAAAAATTGGGTTTCCAAAACTATATTTGATTTGTTTGTAATTGAGACAATAATTACACTGAAAAACATTAGCAATTGAAGTTTAATAATTCATTTCCAGAATATTAGCTATGCTACTCAAACTGACAAATGAGAATACAATACTTTTTCTGATATGTATGCAATATCTTTTTTCCCCATTTTGTAAGCAATATCAAACCATTGTTAATAAAGGGATTTGTTTTAATAAAAGCATTGATTCTCTATCTTGTATATTCCATGGAAAGCAATGCAGTATGATCAAATTCTTCTGGATAAAGATTTTACATCAGTAGTTCCTGGTTTAAAAAGTAGACACTACTTTTAATATGACAGCTATTTCTTCTTAGTTTATGTCCTTAAGGCAGTGGTGGGATTCTGCCGGTTCTAGGCGGTTTGGCCGAACCGTTTGTTAAAATGCTGGCTCATCCCGCCCCTTGCCAATAAATAGTGAAGGCGGGGCGAGGGGTGGGCGAGCCAGTAATTTAACAAATGGTTCGGTGTTTTTTTGTAATTTATTGGCCTCGCAGCAGTGGTGGGTTGCTACCGGTTCTCCCCGGTTCGCAAGGACCAGTAATGGTAATTTGAACTGGTTCGGAGAACCATTAGTAATTGCTGGCTGGCCACGCCCCCGAACCGGTACATTCGGCCCAGCCGCCCGACGCTCGCCTCGCCCTCCACCACCCAGTCACTCCTCACTTATACTGTATGGGTCCTCGCAGCTTGTCTGCTTGAAGTACTGTGCCTGCCAGGTAAGCCTGTGAGTCGCGGCCTACCTAGATGCCCCTACCCCCCCGACCCCCATCCCAGCCTGCCTCCCCTACTCCCTTCCCCGCAGCCCGTAACCCTGCCATGCTTCCCTGCCTTTTACGTGGCTTTCCCAATGTCCCCAAGACCAGCTTGTGAAGGCAGGCAAGCGGTCCTGGCCCCAGGGACCGCCGGGAAGGCAGGCAAGTATGGCAGGACCACCTGGCTGTAGGGAAGACAGCTAGCAGCTTGCTTACTTCCCCGAAGCCCTGCCATGCTTGCCTGCTTTCCCGGTGTCCCCATGGCCAGCTTGCATCCACCCCCATCCTGCTTCCCTTTTACCTTTCTTTAACACCCCCTGCTTCTCTCCCCAAACCTTGGGAGGTGGCGTCCTCCACGCCGCAAAGCCCTCAAAGCAGTTGTAGGAGGGGGAAAAGAAAAAAAAACCTTGGCCTCTCGAAGGCTTCGAACGTGTGTGTGTATTTGGCGGCACTGAAGTGAGCCACGTGAAGGGAGCCTGCTGGGTAACCACACCGGCTGCGATCGGCCCCTTGCCTTCCGCTGCCGCCTCCACCTCTGCCTCTTCCTTCTCTCTGCCGATGAGTCAGAGAGGACAAGGCAGTTGCTTCGCCAAGCGTTTCTCCGCATTTCATCCCAAGTCAGCCGCCCTCACTGGAAACGCGGAGAAATGCTCAGCAAAGCAACTGCCTTTTCCTCTCTGACTTCTGTTGAGAGAAGGAAGAGGCAGAGGTGGCGGCAGTGGAAGGCAAGGGGCCGATCGCATGGCTCACTTAGCGCCACCAAACACACACACACTTTTGAAGCCTTCGAGAAGCTTCAGAGGCCAAGGCTTTTCTTTTCCCCCTCCTGCAGCCACCTCGAGGGCTTTGTGGTGCGGAGGATGCTGCCTCCCAAGGTTTCGGGAGGGAAGTGGGACACGTTAAAGAAAGGTAAAAGGGAAGCGGGGTGGGGTGGGATTCGTGCCCCCCCTCACAATCCTCTTCCAAGCGCAGATGCTTCCTCCTTTAATACCTGGTCCTGCACTTGACCTGGCCAGACAGCACCCCCCCCCAGCGCCCTCCCACCTGTCCTTCCTTCTCCTGACAGGCTGCGGAGAGCAAAGCTCCAGCAGGAGGGGCGGCTTTGTTGCTCAGGCCGAGAAGCGACGTGAGAGAGAGAGCCAGCTTTGCTGGCTGAGGAACTCTGGGAGTTGAAGTCCACAAGACTAAAAGTTGCCAAGGTTGGTGACCCCTGCCCTAGACTACTTTAGGAGCAAAGTGGTGGATTTTACTGGCATTTCAGGAGGAAGGGGAGGGAGGGAAGGACAGAGAAAGAAATAGAAAAAGAGGCAAAGGAAGAGAAAGAAGGAAAGAGGGAGAAAGAAAAGAGACAAAGAGAAAAAGAAAAAAGGAAAGAGAAAAGAGAAAGAAAAAAGACAAAGAAAGAAGAAAGAGAGAGAAAGAGGAATGAAGGGGGGAGAGAAAGAGAGAAGAGGAAGGAAGGACCACAAACCCTGGCACTAGGTGTGGCTTCAGAAAACACTTTGAAACAGGACAGCAATCTAGGGCTGGAAGGGACCTTAGAGGCCATCTAGTCCAACCCCCTGCTCCAGCAGGAAGCCTTACTGGATTATTTTGGTGCCTCTAACAGAGAGGAAAATTGTCAGAAAGGAGAAGGAGTTTACTAGGACAAGGCTGCCATGCAGAGAAAGGCAGAGATAGTCCTTGATTTATGACCAGAATTGAGCCCAAAATTCTGGTTGCTAAGCAAGAGCGTTGTTAAGTGAGTTTCACTACATTTTACTCATTCCATGATCTCTCCTGGCTCTAACAGTCATATGTAGGCTAGGGAAGTAAATCTAAAGGCGTGTGTAATGTTCTAATGTACAGAAGTTATAGTTAAATGGGTGGCAGAAAGTGGACTCTGGGTGTGTTTTTCCAAATGTAGTAAGTGAGCTTGAATATATATAGTTTTAGAAGAGGTGTGTGTGTGTGTGTGTGTGTGTGTGTGTGTACACACACATACAATATATATAGTAAATAATGTATATTTTTGTGTGCCTGTACACTATACTATGTAATATGTATCTACACATATGGCATATGTACATAGGATTAAATAGTATATTTTGGATGTTTAGTAGTAGTAAATAAATAGACAGGGAAATTGTATCTCGTTGAGGCCTTTGAGGTGAGGAGAGGCTAGGCATCCTAACCATAACCCTTGACATGAGTGACGTCAAGCTGGCCATGCCAACCCAGTCACATGACCACCAGCTACACCCACCCAGTCACATGACCACCAAGCCACGCCCAGACATGTGACCAAGCCATGCCCAGACACGTGACCACCAAGCCACACCCACCAAATAAGTCACGCCCACAGAACTGGTAGTAAAAAATTTTAGAACCCACCCCTGCCTTGCAGCACACCAAAACGTTTATTAAATTGCTGGCTCGCCCGCCCCTCGCCCTGGCCTGCCTCCAACCTGCGCGGCGTCAGCCTACCGTAGCCCAGGGGTGGGCAATTGTGGTTCTTTTACAATCTGTGGACTTCAATTCCCGCCTAGCCCATTCTGGGGAATTCTGGAGAATTCTGGGAGTTGAAGTCCACAAGTCTTAAAGCTGCCAAGTTTGAAGACCTCTTGTTTTATATATACTGTAATAAGCAGCCCCTCTTCTGATTTACTCTCTTACGGGCACAGCTCTATCATAAACTCATTTCACCAATCAGGCTTTTAGGTGACATTCTTAAAACGTTTCAACTTAAGTCCAAGAACTTTCACCAGCTATTTCCCAAGAAATGTCCTTCCTTCCTTCCTATTCCAGAAACCGAGAGGGAATTAATTTCCCGCTGGCTCTGACCAATTTAAAGCGGCCGCTTCTGAGTTAGCTCCTTTTGTGTTGGCGGAGAATTGTTTTTTTTCCCCTTTTCACGCTGTCTTCCCCTTTAAGGCAGGAACGCCATTACTAAGGCGGTCGGAGGAGTGGGCAAACTGAATCCCTCCAGCGGCAACAATCAGGACGGTCCTTGGGTTTCGCTGCAGCTCTCTCGGGGCGCGATGGCATTCCCTTGTCTGGTAATGGGAAACACTGAGGGATGCCGAAGCAATGTCAGAGTTGGCTCCACCGCAGAGGCAGGGAGAAAGTGGGGCTGGATTGATTGATCGAAGCGAGGCAACAAATCTGTGGAGAGAGCCAGGCCCGCCGATCTGCAAGAAGCCAGAACTCATGTTTGGGCCGCTGATTTGAGCCAAGTTAGGCTGGCTCAGCCCCCCCCAATCGTGAGCTGCTGCCTTGGCGCAGAAAGAGGGGGCGATCCTGAAGTTGCACCACATCAATATAGATCCCAATCTAGATCACGCTCTGAGCGTTGCGACTGAAGTTCCTCCAAAACTAGGGAAGATTCAGCCTTAGGAAGAGAGGAAAAGGCTCTGGGCGGAAAGCCGGAGGGGGCGGGCTTTGCTTTACCAACTTCTAAGGCTCTGGAGGATTTAAGTAGCTTAATTGTGCTTGCTTGCCAATACCAGAATTACAGAGTTGGAAGGGACCTTTGGAGATCTTCTAGTCCAGAGATCTCCAATCTTGGCAACTTTCTCTGCCTGGGCCTGATGCTTCCTGAGAGGCAGGGGGTCTCTCCGAATGGGACCTCCTCCCCAAAAGGCTGGCTCCAAAGCCCTAGCTCAGAGATCTTCAAACTTGGCAGCTTTAAGACTTGTGGACTTCAACTCCCAGAATTCTCCAGCCAGCATAGCTTTTTTCAGCCCTCTGGGTAGTCCCTATGTGCATATGGACTACTCAGAGGGCTGAAAAAGTTATTTTTGACCGGTCCTCACACTTTTGACCAGTCCTTGAACTTATGACTGTCTTCACATTTTACGTTTTGCGCCCTATCTTGTTACCGTGGTGAAGAGAAGTAGTGGTGAAATGACTGACACGGTTGTTAAGAATGCCACAATGGGCATAAATGTGAGGATGGTCATAAGTGCGAGGACCGGTCAAAAGTGCGAGGACCAGTCAGAAATGACTTTTTTTAGCCCTGAGTATCCCTATGCACATAGCCACACCTACCCAGTCACATGACCAGCTAGCCACACCCACCCAATCACATAACCAAGCCACACCCCCAACTAAGCCACGCCCACAGAACTGGTTGTTAAAAAAATTGAATCCCACCACTGCCTTAAGATATAGTGTAGTGTTACAACTACAGATTAATGTTTACAGAGGCAGGTCAATATTAGGCTAATAAAGGCATAATAAAGGAACAAAAGCAATGTATCTTGCTTTTCCCCCAAGTACTGTGTCCTCTTTCCAACAAAAAAATAAACAATGCTGTAAATTATACTAGTGGCTCTTAATCACCCAAAATATTTTATGATTAAGAATAGATATGGAACGAAATATCCTTATTTCCAATCAACATTAAGGGAGATAAGTTGGCCAAGGCTAGCAAATATTTCCAAG